ACTAGAGAATATCAGAAAAAGCCCAAAGAGCAAAGATTCACTGGGGACCAGGAGGTCTGCCACCCTCTCAGCACCCACACCCCTGCCTGCTCTGTGACTGGTTCCGGCACTACACACCCTAAGGAAGAGTGGAGCAAAGCAGGGAAGGGAAGCTAGAGAAGACGGAGAAGGAAGGCAGGCAGGAAGGTGATCAAGAAGACTTAGCGGAATCACATGGGTCTTATGCACTAGGGTATTGTAGGGTAAGTGATTTTCAGGCTTTTCTGCCCTCCCGCCATTAGGATTACAGTCCTGAATGCATGCCTGATGGCGGACACCTGAAGTAGGGTGTGGGCATGTGTTAAGTAGGTACACCTGGGCTAAGAGACTGGTCTTATAAGGGTGGCATCACGGGGATGTCAGTACAGTAGAGCAGAAGAGCAGAGAAGCAGAACAAGAGTTAAAGAGAAGCAGAGAAGGCTGGAGAGCCCAGAAAGAGTGAAGACTTGCTGGGGGCTGGGAGGCCTGCCAGCCTCCCACCCCCCACCCCCAGAACCCCTGCCTGCTGTGTACCTGGTAAATCCCAATCAAAGCCCTCAAAAGCCACCAAGGGCTCCAGGACTCTCTCCTCCTTCACCCCGTCTGCTCGGGTCATAGAGATCCTGCCCTCTGGCCTTCCTACCCTTACAGGTATGTTTTGTCTCAATGTACTTGGATGGCAGAACCTTTTTAGAGCAGGCAGGTTTGGGGGGGGGTCTGTGAGGAATATGGAGTTACTCAGGCTCTTTTTAGCCTTCCTCCCACTAGCATCTACTGCTGCCTCCTGTTTTGTTTTCCTCCCAGGCTTCGCCACCCACACATGATATCATGTTACTGCAAAAAGTGTTTTGGAGTGCAACTCGGGGCACTCACACCTGTAATTATGGACACCAGAACTAAAAGCCTGAGACTGTGGAGACCATAGGGGCTAGAAGTTTCAGTTGCTGCCTGCCTGCCTGTGTATCTGCCCTCCACCCCCACTTCAGCATTAAAGGCATGTCAGATATACCCAAGGCTCCGGGATTCTTCTTTCATTTGCCTAAATCAACCATGAACCTGCCCAACCTGGGATGGTTACATAACAGGGTCCCAGGGTGCCCTTCACCCTGCCCGTAACAGATTCAGGACACGAAATAGAGATTGCTATGACAAAAGTATTGTTTAAAAGAAAGTGATAAAAAACAAAATAAATCTGGTAAGTAGGTTGTGGTCACTACTCTGCAACCATCCCAGACAAGGCAGGGCCATCATCGGTTCAGGCAGCTTGAAAGACAACCTTGGAGCCCTTGGCATCATCCCCACAGGTTAGGGGAAACAAGCCAGCTGGAACATTTAAGAAATTTAATTAGAAACAAAAGTATCATATTTGAATTTTCAAATCATCCACTTCAATGTAGATGACTGATTAGCTGGAGAAAGGTAAAGTATGACTTTACTGTTACATCTGTTACATTTTCCTAATGAAGTTTCTAAATACTTTTATCTTTTTCTTGGGGTTTTATGAATTTATTATCTGTTTAGTATGTTGCCTCTTGGCAATACGACTATTATCTGAAACTTATTTTAGATCATTTTATTCCATTTGAAATGTATTTTTGGTGTGGTATTATACTGGATCCCTTGAACCTACATCTTGCTTGCCTAACATTCCTGTTATTTAGCTCCCAGGCTAATAGACCTTGCCAACCAATCCCATTGAAGAACATACCCCTCCATCCTGCAAAAGCTTCCTGTCTTCAAGCAATGGCTACAGAACCATACAGGATGGCAGAAGACTGAACTTGAAGTGGCCTATTAGGTCTCATCAGTCTGCTAAAACTCACACACCTGGGTGGAGACTCCAGCTGCTATTGGGACATAAAATTAATGAAGAAGGCTGCCATGGTATATCTTGGCCTAGAACATGCTCCTTGCCACCCTGTCCTGGCAATTCCCTAAGAAACAGGACTCACATCACTCTCGGGTTAAGATTCTGACTCAGGATACTCCCACCCCTCACCTACTATGTCATCAACAATGATTGTTCCTTGCTTAAAACCTCACGCTTTGTGAGGGATTAATTGGTGAAAGCCAATGAACCTTCAGAATCTCTGAAAGTATGATATAATAGTACAAATTTATCTTCTAAATTGTGTTCAAATTCTTTACCATTTTCCCCAACTGAATTAAAATGGCAACTTTGTCATGTATGAACTTCTGTGATTTGTCCATATTGTTTTGGTTGTTGGTTTGTTGATATATAGGAACCAATAAAACAATACGTTTTTGTATGTAGTAAGTCAAACTTTCCTACATTTCTTTTTCATAATTTTCTTGACTAATCTGCCATGTATTCTTCAAGTGAACTTTAAAACATTTTAGGGCCTCCCCGGTGGCGCAACAGTTGAGCGCTGAGTTGCGAAGATGCCCACAGCCTCTGCAGCACCGGTTCGATCCCCAGATGCTCCCCGGCCACCGGAGGAGGGTCCCACATGGCGCGCAGACCTCTCCTGCTGCCCGCTGCTCCCCTCAGCAGTGTACTTCGGTCCCTCTGCCTGCTCTGCTCCCCGCTCTGGCTCTGGTGAATTTTCTCACCCTCCCGTGCTTCTGACTGTACCCAGTGCTTGTATAAATACATAAATAAATAAATAAATAATAAATAAATCTTAAAAAAAACAAAACATTTTAATTCTTCATTTTGACTCTCCTAAAAATATGCATGCATATGGGCGCGTGTGTACACACATACACACACACACACTTTGGATTTGAAGTGCACTTCCCTAAAATTTCAACATTAATCTTAAAAGTTGAGATGCATGGTTTTCTATTTGCTGAGGTCTCTAGGCCATTGTTAGACATTTAGGGCAAGGAGGGCGATACCTAAAGAAAATTAATTGGTCAACGGTAGCCAGGATCCCAGGAAACACCTTCCAGAGCTAATAAAGTCCAGATAGAGTAAAAAAATGCCCAGAGAGGAGAAAGGCACTCCACCCACCCCAACCCACAGACAGGCGATTGAGTTCAAAGAGTGCAAGAAACACCCAGAAGGGGGCACTTCCTTGAAATTGGCCAGTTTTTAGACTATAAGGCAAGTCCCCTAAATAGGACAAACAATACCCTGAAAACCCCCAAATGGTCTCCCCCTCCCAAGGAAAGGATACAGATGGTTGACCTCATCACAACTGAGGCCTAATGATCCCTTGCCCCAACCTGCTGCCAGTGCTGATAAAATTACACCCTGGGAGCACATTAGAAGAGAGAGTGACTTAGAAACTACTGTTTGCACAGATAAACCGACACCCTAGGAATGCCTGTGTAGTACACCCCAGGAAGGGATGAACAGTTCCTGTGCCCAATTTAAAAGCCACATCCCCTCACAAGTCCCTCACAGTTGTTCTTACCAAGGACTGAGTCTGCTCAGGAACCTCTCAGTGGGTGTCCTTTTATTCTGTTTCTCAATAAATTGCTTTTGCTTCTGCTAAAGACATGGCCGTAAATTCTTCTCACAGACTCAAGAACCACAGAAGTCATAAATCCAGGACTCCAGAACCCTATCACACCACTACATGTTCTCTACCAAAACATTTTTTTTCCCACTACTATTTGACTTTGTTTATATTTTGTCCTCTCTATTTGGGACACATTTTATGTGGGTGAGTACTTCAGAATCTGCTTTCTAAGATACTCTTTTCTTTCTCAATTTCATTTTTGTGCTTAACTTCAACTTACTTTGTGTTTTGAAGTAACCTGGTATCAGACACTACAATTTCTACTTTTTTAAAGACTGATGTTTAAAATTTATTAAGTTAAAATTTTATTAATTTTTAGAGCAGTTTAGGTTCACAGCAAATTTAAAGAGGAAAGGACAGAAAATTTCCATACACTCTCTGCCCCCACTCACGCCTAGCCTCCTCCTTAGTGAACATTCCCCACAGACTGAGACATTTGTTACAATTGATGAACCAACACTGGCATATCATTCAAAGTTTGGAGTTTACGTTGGAGTTCATCTTGATGTATAAACTGTGGGTTTGGACCAATGATTTCTGTTTTAAATATCAAAATGTACTGAAAGTATCAAAACTTATGTAGTGCTTATTATGAACAAGAACACCTCAGAATTGATGTATTTTAAGTTAATATCACCTAAATTCCCTTTTGAGGTTCTTAATTTTTAAGCAATTTATTTCACCAGGGCAATTTTCTGTACATAGATTTGAATCAAAATTGCATTTCCCCACTTTCCTATGTAGTGAAACACTTGTGAATATTTGTAGAATATTTGAAGTTGCTCACCCACTGGTAGACATAGGTATTTTATATTTTAAAACAGACAATTTTTTGGGATGCTAGCTTTTAATAGGAGTTCTTTCCCTCCTTGTGCTTACTACATACAGATCACCTGGATGCTTTGTGCACGAATTACCTGCCTAAAAGGAGTTTACCAAGATCAATTTGAAAGACATTGCTACCTTTGTATATAATAAGCAGACTGTTGTTGTCTTTTCTTTTATTGTTGTTTTTGCTTTTTTTTTTTTTTTTTACAAGGTTTTTTGTCTCCTTTGAGATTATAATGACATGGTCAGGGTTGTTTTTTTGTTGTTGTTTTGCTTTTTTTACAAGGTGTTTTTTTCTCCTTTGAGATAGGGGAATGAGTGCGGAGGGGGTCCAGGCTTTGGAAGGGATGTTTACACATGGAGCAGACACTAAAGCACTGCCAGCCCACATATCGCTGCAGCTAAAGGTGACATATAAACACATGCACAGTAAAACGAATCACTAATGTGGTTATAAATGCATTTTACAGTTAACAAGCGTCTTTCTCACATCACTGAATGTATCAGCTTGGAAATGGACACAAACGTAGCAAAGACAGGAGGGAAAGCCGGAGTCGCCTGCCTGTACAGGTTCTGACTGGCCACGCCATGGTCGGAACGCTGAAAGGGCAGCCTTCCGTATCTAAGCGTGACTCCCACAGCGTCCTTAGCAACCAGTCTCAGCCCAGCGATCCCGAGTGCGGCGGTGAGTCTTGATTTTTGTTCGCTTGAGAGTCAAGTTTATATCCACATCTATTACCCCTGAGTAATCGGAAGACCCACAACACCCACACAAGGGAGTACTGGGCCTCCTTTTTAAGAGCACCATCTTCTGGCTGTTGGAAGAAGCCTTTATGCCTCTTGACATCAATTTAGGCCCACCAGACGCTGGGGCCGCCCTCCCTGAGAATCACAGTGGTTTGGGACTAGGATGGAAACTCCTGTGAGGGAGGGTGGAGAGGTAGGAGGTAGGGGATCAACTCCCAGGCCGTTTGGTAGGGAGGGACTTAGCTTTTTGCTGGGGGAGGAAGAGTGATTTTCTTATTACTATAAATGGGGAAATTCTTTTTTCTTTTTAAATTTTTAAAATTTTTAAAATTTATATATTTTTTAACTTCATTTTTCATTTTTGCACAATGTATGATGGTCTCACTCATAGCAGGAATTTAGAAAACCTAAATAAGGGACCAGGAAAAAGACTAATTATAATAAAGTAGAAATCAAAATCAACAAGCAACTATAAACTGGGGAAATTCTTTTAATGTCCTCTGAACTCACTCCTTTGTCCTCCAGCAATAGGTTAATTCAGAAGTCTCTTGTCTCCCTTGCCTTCCTGTCAAGTCCTTTTGTTGTTGGTGAAATTTTATCTCCCCCTTTCCTTCTTTCCTCCCTCCCTCCCTTTCCATTGATTTCTTTTTTTGTACAGGGATTCTTTTGCACTTCAAAGGAGACATAAAAAAATTGGGGGAAGTGTGTGTGTGTGTTGCCTTAAGGATATGAAATATAAAAGATCTTTTTCAAAAAGGCAATCTTGAGAAAAAGGTGCAAGTTATTGATTAGGAAAACATGTTAGGAAGGGGGGCAAAACAGAATTCCCTTATTTTATTCCATTAATATGTCCAAATGGATTCTCAACTTTTTGGTGGTCTTTGGTCAAATTATTATTTGTTACTTAAAGTCACAGTCTAAATCCTGTATTCCCTAATGTATGTTATTATAATTTAATATTATCTAGTTTGCAGAAACTGGTTGTCTTTTAAATTGCGATTTTCCAACATTGCTTTAACTGGAGCCTAAAACAATACATTAAGGATTAATGTTAATTTAATTTTTTAAAGATTTAGTTTTATTTATTATGCATACAGGAGAACTGGGCTGTAGGCCAAGGTGCAGAGGCTGAGGGGATTTACCAGTGACAGAGTGGGAAGCAGAACAGGCAGATCTGCTGAAATACATTGTTGAGGGGAGCAGTGGCTGAGACAGGAGAGGTCTGCTGCCCCATATGTGGGTCAGCTCCCTGGCTGGGGATCAAACACAGGCCACAGTGGCTGGTGATAGCTTGATAGTGCTGAGATTTTAACCTCTGTGTGACCAGGGAGGCCCCTAATTTTATTTATTTATTTTTAAAGACAAGAACTAGGGTATAGGCCAGAGGTGTATGGGGTGAGAGGATTCACCAGAGACAGAGTGGGGAGCAGAACAGGCAGATCTACTGAAATAGACTACTGAGGGGAGCAGCGGGCGAGACAGGAGCGGTCTGCTATGCCATGTGAGTAGCTCCCTGACCCGCCGAGGATGAAACTCAGGATGCAGAGGCTTTGGATAGCTTCACAGTGCTGTGTTTACGCCTTGCACCACCAGGGAGGTCCCCCTAATTTTATTCTTTTAAATTTTGAGTCTATGCCAGTTTGCACGTAAACTGCACAGCACCCAGCCACTTCATAAACTGAAACATATCTTTTAAATGTGTCTTCAGACTCTGGTTTGATGCTCCAAAAAATCTTTAGGTTTAAGGTGAATACGTTTCTTTCTTTCTCCCCTCCCCCTCCCCAAGAACTGTGGTGAAGGATTATTGGAGCTTTGGTGTGGTAAAACAATATACATTTGTAGGAATCACTAATAAGTGGTGTAGTTGACACCATGTAGGGTAAATGGTTTTCAGGCTTTTCTGCCCTCCCACCATTAGGATTGCCCTGCCTGACAGGGGCACCTGCAGTTGTTACATTGTTGTAAACTGTCTTGTTTACTTCTGTGGGTCATGGGAAGAGTATTGAGATAGTCACCAAGAGAAACAGAAGCCGGAGAGAAGCAGAGGAGGCAGAAGAGAGGCAGGAGAGAAGAGGAGAAAGAAAACCAGAGAAGCCCAGGGTGAAGACTTGCCCAGGGACTGGAGGCCTCCTGGCCCCCCAGCATCCCTGCCTGCCATGTACCTGTTTGCTGCACTACAAATAAAGCTCAATAAAAGTCTGAGAAAGCCACCGAGGGCTCCAGGACTCTCCTTTATCCCCTGTCTGTGGGGATCATAGATAACCTGCTCAGTGGCCCTTCCTGCCCTTACACACCACTATGAGAAGAGATGGTAACTCCAGAAAAGAGATATTGCGAAGAAAAGGTTACTCTGATTGCAAGGTTTATGCAAATATTAAAAGAGCTAATATATGTAAGAGCACTTTGTAAACTATGTAGTCCCATGAAAGAGTAATTATTGATTCCAGAAAAAAATCCTGAAGAAACAGGCTTTGATCTTTTTTCCAGGAAGATAGACAATATTGTGAGATCGTGTTTGAGTGCACATAACAGAAACCCAATTTCAATAGCTTAACTAAATAGGGATTTGTTTTCACAAATAAAAAAAACATAAAATACAAGATTCTCAAAATTTTGTGTCTACACTATAGCCATCAATGCCCCAGTTTTAAAGTTTTCTGTCATATCATATTTGTATGTGGTTTTCATCCTCATGGTCATCCCCAGATAGCATGATAGCTGCTCTTATCACCACTTTTACGTCCATTATCCAGCAAGATGGGAGAAACAGGAAGGAGCAAGTAAGAGGGCACCACATCTCTATAAGGAAAGTAAAACTTGACCCAATTTCCTTACTTTAGGCTTTAGTTAGAACCTTTATTTGCAAAGGAGACTAAGATACTTTCTGAGAAATGTTTAGCTAAGGATATTGCCTGTCCAAACAAAATCAGCGTCATTTTAATAAGGTAGAAAGGAGGCCGAATCTCTGTCTAGCAAGATCTGCCACAAGAAGTATAGATAGTGATGTGCATGGGGAAAACTGAGCAGATGTGATAGCTTATTATTATCTAGCATTTATACAGATTCTGAGATTTAGAAAATACTTAGTAATTTGCATATAATCTTAAGGTTATATGAATAAGAAACCTCAGCAAAATGCTATTAAAATGAATCCAGCAATATATAAAATATACCATGATTAAGTGGGATTGCTGAATTATGTGATAACTCTGTTTTTAAACATTTTACAACTGATATTTTTCCAAAGTGGCTGCACTATTTTACATTCTCACTGCAGTGGATAAGAATTCCGGTTTTTATACATCCTCACCAATACTTTGTCTTTTTTATTATAGCTATACATAGGTATGGAGTGGCTTGGATTGAATTTCTCTGATGTATAATGATGATGAACATCTTTTATGTGCTTCTTGACAGTTTATGTATCTTCTCTGGGGAAATATCTTATTCAAATATTTGAAGAAGTCTTATTTGAATTGTAAAGAAGCATGGGGGTTTCAATATTCTCCAGCAATTCTTTGAAGTATTGGGTATTTTGGTGTTTGGTATTTTGCTAGGTTTTGATTTGACTTTTTTTCTAATTCCTTTCAAAACTATCCTATATTGTGATAACTACAATAATGACAAACTGAAATAACTTCAATGTCTTGTCATAGATTAGTTAAGACACATTAAATATTCAGCAATAGTTGATTAGTTGGAAGAAACTAAATATACCACAATCTGTACTTTTCTGAATGAACTATGGTGAGTAATTAAACACTGAAATATTTTAAAGAAAAATATGCAAAAAAATTGCATTTAGTAGGATTAGAGTAAAAAGTTCAGTAGTTTCAGTATGATTGGAAGTTACAAGATTACACCTTTTTTTTAAAGATTTATTTATTTATGCACACAAGAGCTGGGGTACAGGCCAGAGACATGGGAGGTGAGAGGGTTCACCAGAGACAGAGTTGGGAACAGAACAGGCAGACTGACTGAAACACACTGCTGAGGGGAGCAGCAGGCGAGACAGGAAAGGTCTTCTTCGCTATGTGGGTTGCTCCCTGGCTGGCCAGGAATTGAACTCGTGCTGCAGAGGCTGTGGTTTGCTTTATAGTGTGGTGTTTAACCCCTTGCCCCACCAGGGAGGCCCAGATTACACATTTTTAAATCACATTTTCTTTGTTTTTAAAAATATTGTTATTTATTTATTCTTTATTTTTTTAAAAGATTTATTTATTTATGCATATAGGGGTACAGGCCAGAGGTGTGGGTGGGGGGTGAGAGGATTCACCAGAGACAGAGTGGGGAACAGAACAGGCAGACCCACTGAAATATATTGCTGAGGGGAGCAGTGGGCAAGTCAGGAGAGGTCTGCTGCTCCATGTGCATTGGTCCCTGGCCAGCTGGGGATAGAACTCATGCTGCAGAGGCTGTGGATTGCTTCATAGTGTTGTGCTTAACCCTTTGCAACACCAGGGAGGCCCAATTTATTTATTCTTTAAATTGAAGTCACATTCGGAGCCTTCCCTCAGGTATCACCATTGTAGGGCACCCATCACCAAATCACCCATAATCCACCATCATAGTTCATTTTGCTTCCTTCTATCTTTGTTATTACCCCTTCTTCTCTGGATGCTTCAATTTTACAGTCTGCTTTAGGTTTTAAGTTAGTCTTCATCTGATCCTTAATTTGTTTTCTCTATAGTCCACATATTAGTGACAACATCCAGTATTTATCTTTCTCTTACTGACTTATTTTTCTTTGCATTATCTTTTCTGACTTCATCCATATTGCTGCAAATGACATAGGTTTATCTTTTTTGATTCTGAGTAATATGCTGCTGTGTCTATATACCAAACCTTATTCCACTCATCTGTTTTTGGATATTTAGGTTGTTTCCATAGCTCGATTATTGTAAATAGTGTTCTTACAAACATAGAAGTTCACCTTTC